GGGAATCCGGTTAGTACCGGGCCTGTCTTTTCCCGGATTTGCAGATATGTCCCTCACGATTTTCCCTCACAGGTAGGTCTCTCGGTTAGCCCTCAGCCAAACAAAATTACGAATCTGTCCTACCTATAGTACAGCCTCGACAGAGGGAGGCTACAGGCACTCAGAAAACAGCAAATCATTGCAGACCTACCCTCCCCCGGAGCGAGGACCTCCAAGCTAGGGGCGTAGGCGTGCAGAGCGCCGAAGGGATACCCCCTTCTGTGCTGCCTCATATTTGAGGATGACAGACTTGGCTGTCTTCAGGAGATCCTTGCGAAGAAACCAGCAATCTTCAGTGTGCAGCTGGTACAAGAACTTCACAAGTTATTCCTTATCTGGGCCTGTCCCTGACTCATCCTCCATAGATTCGACCTCGTACCCTTTGCCAGGGATAGGGGGACCGAATTGTGGAGGCCTGTCTGGAAATGCATCAGCTGGCGTGAATGGCAGCAGCTTCGATGCATGAAAGATAGGGTAGGTTTCTAGATGCAGAGGGACGTCCACATTGTAGGATGGTCCAAACGGATCAGCTCCCACTGTATCTAAGACCTGCCATGGACCCATACATCGTGGCAGCAGCTTAGGCGAAATGTCCTCCTCTCGTGACAGCTCAGAACAGAGTACCCACACCCAGTCACCGGTGCGAATCGTAGAAGGACGCCTGTGCTTATTAGCCTGTTGAATCATCGCCTTTTGGGCTTTCAACAGGTTAGCACGGGCACGCTCTATGTCCACACAGCAACGCCTGGTGAACTCTGCAGTTCCAGGTGTCAGCGTAGGGGTAGCCTTGTCGATGATATCATTGAGAGGCTGTCGTGGTTCACGACCCCAGTGCAACCGGTAGGGTGTGAAACCAGTCGAGGAGTGTACAAACGTGTTATACACAAGCTGTGCACGACTTAGATGGAGATCCCAGTCCTGCTGATCTGGACTGATCACAGGACACAGCAATTGGATCAGAATCTGGTTCATCACTTCAGCCTGACCATTGGCTTCAGGATGACGACCAGATGTCATGTCCAACCTCGAATGAAGGTAATCCGTGCAGTAGGATTGCCATTCATTGCTGCAAAAACGGGGATCTTTGTCACTGACAATAGAGGTGGGTGGTCCATGATGTGTAACCCACCGGTCAGCAAACGCCGCCTGAACGGCCAGCACACGAGCCTCGGCTGGTAAGGGGATGAACTCTGCATATTTGGAGAACCGATCCACACATACCATGACCTGACGCATACCTTGTGGTGTAATCCTACCCAAGTCAGTGAAATCAATAGAAACTGATTGTGCAGGAGCATCAGGGATAGGTAGGGGTTTGAGTAAGCCAAGGGGAGGTCGCCGTACCACCTTGTTCCTTTGGCATAACTCACAGGTTTCCACATAGTGCAGCATGTCACTCCTCATCTCCTTCCAGAAGAAGCGCTGCGACAGGGCTGCATAAGATTTGACGGCACCAAAGTGACCACGAGCGTCATGACACTCTGACATTAGAAGTGTCCTCAGCTTGCGGTCCTGGGGAATGCACAGGCGCTCCTCGCCTCTGCTGCATGTATACAGCAGGTCTGAGACCAGGGAATATCCTGGTTCAGAGGCAGGGTCGTCCTGGAAATTCCTCACAATAGGCCCAAAGATCTCATCCGGGGGCAGCAATTGGGCAATGGTCTGACGTGTCCTCTCCCCAAATGAGTGAGTGAAGGAGATAAGAAAGAAAGCGTCAAGCCTACGAGAAAGGGCATCTGCGACTCTATTGTAGCAGCCCTTCTTGTGTCTCAGTTCAAAGTCAAACATATCAATGAACTGGATATAGCGAGCAAGCTTGTCATTCAACTCTCCCTAGGACTTCATCCACTGAAGGGTGGAGTGATCTGAGAAGATCTTGAAGTGCCTGCCCAGGAGAAAGTGCTTCCAATGCTTGAGCGCTGACACAAGAGCATAAAGCTCCTTCTCATACGTAGAGTCCTGCAGCTTCTTGGTTTTGATCTTCTTGCTCATATACTCAATAGGCTGCAGACCATTCCCATCATCCTGCTGAAGTACCGCCCCTACACCATACTGGCTAGCATCGGTAGTCAGTACAAAAGGCAAGGTAGGGTCAGGTAACTTCAGAACAGGAGCACGAATCAAGGCCTCCTTGAGACGTGTAAAGGCCTCCTGACATTCTGACGTCCAAAGAAAGGAAGTGTCTTTCTTTGTAAGATCAATCAAGGGAGCTGCAATCGCCGAGAAGTTCTTAATGAACTTCCTGTAGTAGGATGCAAGCCCCAAGAAAGACCGAACATCACGAATGTTAGCAGGTCGCGGCCAGTCCTGAACTGCAGCAACTTTCGTTGCCTCAGGAGCCAACCCCTCTCCAGAAATTACGTGTCCCAGATAGATCACAGAGGGAACTCCAAAGGAGGACTTCTCCCTGTTGATCTTATAGTGGTTAGCACACAAGGCCTGGAGGACCAGAGCCAGATGTTGCGCATGCTCCTGGACAGAACGACTAAATACCAAGATGTCATCAAGGTAGACAACTACGAACTTGTCCAGGTAAGGCCTCAGTATGCGGTGCATCTCTGTTTGGAAGGTGCCTGGCGCATTGCAAAGACCGAATGGCATAACCAGGTACTCGTAAGTCCCATACCTGGTTTTAAAGGCTGTCTTGTGGACATCGCCTTCAACCATCTCAATCTGGTGGTAGCCAGATTTGAGGTCGATCTTGCTGAAAATAGTACAGCCCTGCACCATATCCAACAGGTCATCAATACGAGGAAGAGGCTCTATAGACTTCCTCGTGATTTTGTTGAGACCACGATAGTCCACGCACATCCTGAACTCGCCATTCCCCTTTGGAACAAAGAGGACTGGTGCCCCAAACTCAGATGTGTTGGGCCTGATCCAGCCCTTGGTGGTCAAGGTCTCTAGCTGTTTCCTGAGCTCTTCAAGTTCAGCAGGAGACATCCTGTAGACCCGGCCCTTGGGAGGGACCGAGCCAGGCAGGATCTTAATCTTATGTTTGGTCTGCCTATGGACAAGTCTAGTAGGCTCCTCCATAAGATATGAGAAACGGTCTACCACTTGCTGAATCTGAGAGGGACAAGGAGCAGTCTCCATGTCAGTCTGTTTGACATAAGCCACGAACAGACGAGCGTGGTCAGTCTGGCGTGAGAATCGTAAAAACTTGCGAGCACTCATGCAATAACAGCTGCTGGCCGTATGGTACTCGTCAGCGAGCATGCAAGGGCGATAGACCCCATGTCGGTCAGGCAGCTCAACCCTAGGGTTGGTGGCACTAAGCCACTGCATGGAGAAGAGAAGGTCAAAGGGGACATCAGGAAACACATAGAAGTTCAGACGGTGCCTGACTTCCCCCTGCTTGTCAAAGGACACAGGTAGGCCCTTGACAGCAGTGGTAATCCTGACTGTGGAAAAGTCCCCAATGCGGACTTCCAATGGCTGTCGCAATTTCACCAACCTCTGGTCCAAGTGCAGTTTGCTGACTGCCTTGGGAGAGATGAAGTTGCGAGTAGCCCCACAGTCCAAGAGCCCTTTGATCTTGGCTCCCAGGATGTAGGATCGAAGTAGGATGAGTTCAGACTTGTGCTTCTTCTTCTCCTGCAAGGACAGGAAAAGATCAGCAATAGTC